CATCTCCTCCTCCCCCATACTACTACCACTCCCCACCTCCACCTGTGAAATCTCCTCCACCTCCAGTCTACATTTACACATCTCCACCGCCACCGACTCATTACTAGGAATCGAAAATTCACCTACATACCTCCATTATTCATGTAAGTAAAGGCTTAATTATTTTTCGATAATTCAAAATTTCCTATTGAATTAATGATTGTAACTAAAATTAAATAATAAAATTGAAATAATAACAGGTTTCAATTTCAACAATGAAATAAAGGAAGGCTGCAAGAGGGGAATAAGTGAACATGGAGCTTTCTATCTAAGTCAACTCAATAAGGGTCTCAGCATTAACGCAATTAAGAGGTTAAAGATATATAGTGCAGACCAGATGAATGTCTCGACTTCTCTAGTGGCCATCTTACATGTCTTCATATTATTATGTTCGAGTATGACTAGTTTCAATGGAGGAAGTAAAGTTAAATTGATTGATTGGAGAGTTTAGGCTGTGGAAGCGTGGGTGCCACCAATTTGCTTGATCAATTTTACCGACTCTGCCCCCTTTGTAGTGATGATTTGATCTCTTAAATTTAGTGTTGTATAGATTATGGTGCTATTTATATGTTTAAGGTGGTTCTACAATTTATTGTGAGCATTTATTTCATATACCTTCCAGTATCATTTGCACTGGGAGTGTAAGCAATAAAATACAAAGATTTCTCTCACATAAAAATCTCCTAAATAAATTTGATTCAAATACTTTTAACCATTTGTTATTGTTTGAAGGCTCAACTCATCCTCTACTTTCATATATATATATATATATATATATATATATATTTCAGTATATATATATTCAGATATTGCATGCTCATATCATTACACGAGTAAATCTGATGATTTCACTAGCGCAACTTTACACTAATCTTCATTTTTTAACATTATTATGCACATACATTTTGAAGATTAAAAAGAAGAATTTTATATATAGTAAATAAAAAGAAAGAAAACATAGCAGGATTCTCGAGTAAAGAATAATTTGTTTGTTTCCTCAATAAATTTAAGAACCAAAGTTTAGTGCTTCATATTCTTGATATAAAATCTAAACAATAGATGAAAATTTTTCAAAGCTTAAAATCTTAGCTTGTTCAACAAATAAACTTAATTAGTTGTTAAAAGTCATAACATATAGATATAAAAAAAAATAAAAAAAAGTATAATGGTCTAGCTAATAACTAAGATCATTGTACCTAAAACAACGTTTTAAACTCAAAACTTATCAATAAAATAAAATGCATGTATGATTTTTCTTTCATAAATTGTAGTCACATATGAGTACTATCGATTACTCGGTTATGGAGCTTTGCGAAACTTAATTTTTCTTTGAATAGAGTATTTGTATGTACGTTAATTTAGAGGTAAAATGAAGAAATCCTAACGCATAAACACTCCTTAATATTTTTTTAACTGAGTAGTTGGTATGAGAATATAGTTCGAGCGTTTCATACGTATTTTCGTCATAAAATCAATAATATTACTATTGATGTGTAAGTCTTACTTAATTATTAAAATGCATCAAGTTTCTTTTAAAAAAATATATATATATATATATATATATAATGCTCTTACCTTTTTCTATTCAAAGAAAAGATTTAAACATTACGCACAACATTTGGTTGATATACAATTAACAAAAGATTTAAAAATAAAAAAAGAAAATCTAAAAAATTTTGTTTTTAGTTGTTAAAGAAGTAATCATGAGTTGGATTATTATTTTTTTTTTATAAATATTATTAAGAAAATTAGGAAGATTTGAATAGATCAAATTACTACAGAAAAGTCATCTTTAAGATGGGAAGGAGGAAAAATGAAACATCTTTAGTAGGTATTGATTTGTTGAATTGGATGTTTGTATGTTTGTAAAGAAGCAGTTGGAAGTCACAGCTAGAAAGTCTTTAGTAAACAACAACTCTTCTTATCTCTTGATTAAGCTGTCACCAATTTAGAATTAATTTTTATTATTTAAAAATAAGATAAGTGTGAGGATTTATGTGGTCGGAATGTGCAGATTTCAAAAAAGTTAGTGGAA